AACCGAATTAACTCCATTTCACAAAAATCTGGGTAAGTTTTAGTTACATCCAAAACTGAAAAGAAGCAATCAAAACTGAAAAGAAACACTCAAAACTGTACTAAGCCACTTAATCAAATTGTATGATCTGAATATAACTAGCTTAATACACTAGGAGGACCATGTAATTATGTAGCTTTTTTTAGAGAAAGAACAATGTTTGGCAAGCACACACACCTTTTGATGATTTTCGTTAATTTTTAACTGCCTTTTTCTCATCAAGAATTATCTTATATCCTTGACAGCCTATACTATAGGTTAATTTGATATCCAGCACCAACAAGCTGTATTCATGTTATCACTGAAATTTGATCAAAACACTAAATTTATCATTCAACCTCAACATCTTATATTGATTTACGGAAATCTCACTTAACTATATTAGCGTACTCAAATATATGTTAGTATAAACTCCACCACCCCACAATTCTTAAATGCTAAACATTCAGCCATAAATTTTCTTCACACCCAAGGCTCGCAGCTACTTTTTGTTTAAGAATTCGGTTCGGTTTTTTGGGCGGTTCAGGGGTTCAAACCGGATCCAGACCGGTTTAATTCGGTTTGGACGGTTTAGAGTCTTCTTCTCATCCATTTAATTCGGTTCGGTTAACCGATCCGTTTTTTCGGACGGTTTTTTCGGTTGAACCGGTTTGTTTCGGTTTTTGCCCACCCCTACCTACAATAGTGGAATAGTCTCGATTAGTGATGTTTTGTTAAGCTAGAGATGGAAATGAATTTTTGAGCAACTTTTTTGTTTAATGCTAACTCTGGTTTTATGGATTTGCAATCTTATCGTGAATTTAAGGGGATTGCGTATCAATTGGATTGTCGATTGGGGATGGATGGACTATGGCTTTAACTACTCAAGCTTCAACAATGTATAATATTTTTTGAACATATTTGAATTTTTTTTTAACATATTTGATTGGGAATGTACATATTGTGGTTGTGACTATATTGGGTCTTTTCTTGAATTTGCCATGATCAAGCTTCTCTCTCTCCATTCTTTCTTTTTTCCTGCATTGTGTTTGTTTTTATATGAATTATAGCTCATAATTTTATTATATTCCTTAATATTTTAATTATGAATTCTTTGTTTTGTAAGGATAAGCAGTTGGGTGTTTTGTTTGTTTGTTTTGGCTTTTTTTGATCTTATTCTCAAGCAATCCTATAGACTTCATGATTCAACTCAATCTCCACAGCTCAATCTAACTCCCTTCTTATCAATTCTGTGCAAATTCCCCTCAATGGATTCAGGTTCCTGTAGTTTACCAGATTCATGATCCTAGGCTAAGAAATAGATCCAATCTCATAATTTCTTATTGGATTTTCTGTAATTAAGTATTATATATTATATTATATTTTGATGTATTAATGGATTGGAACAATGCTCAAATTGAGGGAATTTAACCAATTTTAGTGACTTTTTGTAATTAGACTGAACTTATATAGAAATTCAATAGGCAGTCCATTATATAGTTTATTGTATATATTTAACTTTGATTAAGCTCATACTCCAAATTTTGCGAGAAAAACTCAAATCTTACCTCTTTTTCTTAAAAAATTCAAATGTATTGTGAGTTATGTTGTTATTAATGATATATTCACTATTATGATTGAGGAAAAAACTATGAACCTATTACCTATAAACTGAATTTGGATTATTTTCTTTGTTGTTGAAATCCAACCTTTATCAATGTTCCTTTGATTATGCGAATCTATTGACTAAATTTCTGCATACATACATATTTAATTACAATAAGCTCGAACTCCAATTTTTTAAAAAAAAATTAAGAATACATTAAGGTCAAACTCCTTTATGTTCTGATGATCTATCATGTTACAACTATCTTATGCCTCTAAGATCTTTGTTCAAAGGAGGAGGATATCATTGTTTTCTAATTTTTATGAAATTTATTATGAATATGTTTTTTTCTTTTTAGGCTTATGGGAAGATCAACTCCTTTGTGTTAGTTAGATAAGCTTGGTCATGGGAAGAACATTTCGTCTAATATGACAATTAGCTATTCTAGATATATTATACTTGGAATTATTTCTTTAGTTGTGTACTTGAAAGTTTATGCTACGTTAACTTTGATACCTGAAGTTTGTATTGCCTAAGAAATACTACAAAATTCTGAATAACTGTACATGAACTTTAGAACTTCAGGGTATCTTTTCGATTTTTTTTCCTTGAGTGATTTCAGGCAAACAGTGACAAAAGAGTGTACTTTTTGATTTCCTTTTTCTCTTTTTTTCCTTTTTTCCTCAGTTCCTTTAGTTTTTTCTCGTTGTTTTCTAGTTTTCATGTGAATGGAATTCATTGGATTGTAGTATTATACTAATCTTTTATTTTGATTTTTATCCACAGTTTCCTGATGTGAAGGCTCATAATTTGAAGGAAGAAGTTTGTATTGTCGTTTTTGCTAGCTATAAGTTATACCGGCGATGATGTAGTTATTTTAGACTTCTCCAATTTTTGGGCTCTAAATTGTGCTCCTTTGATTACTTCTGAGGGAGAGATATGTTTAATCAATAGAAATTGTGAAATTTCCTCTTTTATCATTATTATTAGCATAATATTAGTAATGTATCTGATAAGCTTTGTTTATTAATGCATGATCTATGCCAAAGGACCAAACTTGGTTGTCAAAGTATCACCTTTGCTGCAAAGTTTCACCTTGGTAATACCAAACTTGGATTTTGTATGTGATTTTCTACATGCCCACTTTGAATTTTCTTCAAAATAGTTATCATAATTATGAGTAATTGGGCAAATATTGGTTCTTTAATGAGATACATAGACGCAGAGCTTGAGATTGTTGAATATGTCATGAGAATTTTACCTTGGATTTGCGTTTGATTGATAGGAGGAATATTACGATGCATATTATGAAATAATGCATTGACATGATGGTGTACATCTGTACAATTGGTTATCAAATTATGTACAATTGATTATCTCACTCCTTCAGATTTTATTTTAATAACATATGTGATTATCTATCTTGGAGTACTTTGGAGTCAGTAGAGCTTTCACTATTCCTATAAGGAAGTACACTCATGAGGTATCTAAATTTAGAATGCAAAAACCATTTTATCCAAATTCAATGCAGTTATCCCTCCCACTTTAGATATTTTACCACACTAATTACTTTAGCTCATTGCTTTATATCATCAGATTGTGATATAGAGCCCCAGAAGAACTTCCAGTGGCTATACACTATTCAACAACATTTTCATTTGGTCTCTTTGTTGTATGTTTCAAAATTTCTTTCTCTTCTAAGCAAAATTTTGAATATAACCTAAATACCAATTTTTCTGCGCTTTTGAAGTATACATCTACTTGAGTGAAGAGCTCAAAACTATTTGATCTCCAGTAGAAGATTGTGTCAATAGACTGTGTTCAATCAGCTATATATGACATCAAGGCCAAATGCAACACAATCAAGACACTCAGATATACAATGAGGAATAGGCAACGGTGTCAAACTGTGTATATAGCTCCAGAGTTCATGAAGAAACAGAGATCCTGATCTGCAGTATTGCATTTTCTTTCTTCTAGCTGTTGATAGGTTTTTGATGCTTTATGTGATAAATATTGTGCATATATTGTTAAGATGAGTTGGGTGTTTTGAGAGAGTTTACTTTATATAGGGATTGTTTAATCATGCAATATTACAATTTGGTAATAAAGTTTTACTTGCTTACCAAAAAAATGTTGAAGTATAGCTGAACTGTTTGTTGATAGTGATCATGGCTCTCAAGGCAATGGATCGCCGAAAGAATAAGATGTGTTATTTTATTGATATATTTGTGGGCCATGGTAGCCTGAGAGAACAGTTGCAGAGTCTAGTGTATCAATTAGTTTCTACGATTGGCGTGAGGATTTACATATGGGATGTTACAATAGTTCACAGGCTAACACTAGCTCGTGCTTGGCACGGGTTGAATATTAGTATACTACTATTAGAGGACCCAAAGAGACTTTGAATCTGAAAATGTCAGTTTCCAGACAATAGAACTACCCAACATCCAATTTTAATCCCAAAAAAGGACAAGCAAGAATTTTATCAAACCAGATGAGATCAACTTCGAACCATATAAAACCTTAGCGTTGATTTTCCTGGTAGAAGGAGGGGAGACGTACAGCCCTCTTCCACAATGGAAGATAACTTTTACCTCCATCGAATTCCGATTACTCTACTTCAACAGAAGAGAAACTGAAAAGCTCAAATTCCACAATAAGCACCAAAAAGTCNNNCCCCCCCCCCCCCCCCCCACACACACACACACACACACGCACGCACGCACACACTATCATCTGTCAAAGACCTACAATACTGCATATGCAGCTTTTTGTACCACTAGGGTTCTCTGTAAACCATCAAATCCATTCAATACTCAAAAGCCCCATAGTTACAGCTCCAGCTCCAAAAACCCCAGAATTCCATATCTTACGCTAAAACCCTAGAATTTAATGAATCCCAGGTTCAACCAGTAGTACCCTAGAATTCCAATTGTTACATTTGACTTACCAGAAGAAAGAAACAATTCTTACATCTCAGCTAGAAGCTCAAGTTCCAGTGGTACACACCAAAACGACCAGTTAACGAACCCTCATTATCATCTTCAAAAGAATTAGATATTAGACCTAGAATTCCATCTTCAATTTTAATTTGAGTCCCATCAGCAACTCCAAATACCCTAGAATTCCATCTCCCGCCCTAGAAACCCTAGAATTCGATCAATTCTAGGTTCAGTCAGTACCAACCTAGAATTCCAATAAATCACGTTTCACCAGAAGGGAGAATAAGTTCTAGAACGCTCATTATCATCAAAGTCGTTTGATATCTATAAAAAAAAACCCAGAATTCAATCTCCTACTCCTCAAAACCCTAGAATTCGATCAGTTCTAGTTCAAATTACACCAGGAAAAAAAACAAGAGAATAATTGATACCGGGAGATCGGAGGAGGGAGAGGGGTCATCGGGGTACAAATGCATGATGCCGCGAGTCTCCTCGATCCTAGGGTTCCCCGACGAGAAGTGGACGGCCTGGGTGGCGGGGTGATTTGGAGAAGAGAGGGGCGAAATGAACCTCGAACTCAACTCCAGTGCACCGCGGTCCCTCCTCTGCCTCTCGCGGTAAATAGGCAGCTCTCGTCACGGCACAGGAAATTAAGTCGGTCCAAGATATATTAGGTAAATTTACGAGAAACACCCATTCTCGATATATTAGGGTTAATTTCACAAACCCCTCACATCGATGTATAAAGTCATTTTACTTATTCGCAGATTACAGACAATTAAAAGTTTTAGGGGGGCCTTCGTAAGACAATCCAAAGTTCACGGGGCCTATATGAAATTAACCCATCTTTGACCAAACTCCTATGTATAAGATCATCAAGGCATCCGAAAAGGACATTAGCGTTTGGAAGAAAGAAAATAGAAAGAAAAGGAAAAAGAAGAGAGAGAGAGAGAGAGAGCTCTTGGATAAAGTAAAGCAATAATTTTTTAAATGACTAACCTGCAGACATTTGTAGAACAAAGAACAAAACTTCCTTCTAACCCTAATTGTTTCATAATAATCAAAAGAACTTTTTTTTTATCTTTAAGATGAGAAGAATTCTTGAAAGTATAGTATTAACAAAAAACACCTTCAAAATTAATGCGTTTATGCACACTTGGATTCCTTCTGAATGCTTCTTTAAGCTTTGAGTGTTCCGAGTAAATAAATTATTTAAGCGGATTATAGCGCTAGTGGTAAACTTCCACCAAATACTAAAAACACTAAAAAAAACTTGATTGCCACGAGAAGCTAGCTGCGCCTATTCAATTAAAAAAACTACAAACTCTTTGTTTAAGGGCTGTTTGGTTGGCTAAAAAAATTAATTATAAGGAACATATTTCCTATAATAGGTTCTTTTCTTGTATTTGGTTCACTTCTTGAAACTAAAAAAGAAATGAGATGAAATGAGTTTTCACATTAATAATGGATGATGTGACTAATTTTTAAGGAAACACGTTTCATGACTTTTTGAGGAAATGGATGGAAATCAACTTTTAATGGTTTCCTTATCATTTTTCTTTTTCTTTGATTTTAGAAAATAAACCAAACAGGTCCTTAAACTCACAACATCACCAAGCAAAAAGCTCTGACAGAGAAATAAATACGAGCAAGCAGTTAAAGGTTAGTGTTTCGGGCGATGCAATACTGTAGCTGTCAGGCTACGACAATATGGATTGGGATCCTCTCCTAATAAAGAGGTTCCTAATATCTCCTAATGAAATATTGGCCTTTGATTTATCAATCAAATGTCAAGATCTCCTCATGAGCGAAAGTAGGAGGGCCCCCCTACTTTCGCTCATGAGGAGATCTTGACATTTGATTGATAAATCAAAGGCTAATATCTCCTTATTAGGAGATATTAGGACCACTACTCATTAGGAGAGGATCCCAATCCGAATTTCAATGGGACTGTCGGCATGGTTTTGGGTGGTCACATCACTCGACTCCTTGCACAACCAAACTAAATAGTTAATGTAATATTGTAGGGATTGGGATACTCTCCTAATGAAATTCCCTCCATCTCAAGCCGTTTTAGCTCAGCAATACTGTAGCTGTCACGTACAGCTAGGCGACATGTTTCCGGAATCACGAGGTTTGCAGAAAGGTATCCAAACAGACCTTAAATCCCACATGGAAATTAGCATAACCAGAAACCGGAGAGGTAAGAATACAAAAGCAAATACATGTGAATCATAAACTACAAAGTACATACCGAACCAAGAGGCTGCGCACATTAGCAGTCTACTGAGCTGAATTCTGATACTGATACACTTGGTAAATTTATCAGCAAGGCTTAAAAAGTATGACCCTACTGAACCATACATCTAAAATACGCAACCATCAAAGATTGTCGATCACCTAAGCTTAAAATTGTGCTCGTGCATCCAGTTTAATTAAAATACATGATATCCTCCCCCATCTGGGTTCCAGGATCTTAAATCAAGCTGATCCCTTGACAATTTTCCTTCAATCCTGGACTCGGTTCTATGTCCCCGCTCATAATCGTTCATAGGAGGAGAAAGCAATTCATATTACTTCCATGAAGAGCCCCCAAGTCTGATCACTTCCTCAGTACTAGTATCCTTCATAAGCCTATCATTACCTGCATCCTTCTTCTTATCACTCACATCACCATACAAATCCTTCAACTTTGCCAGATTGCTAGAGACCTTGTCTCTATTTCCATCACCAAATGGGCTAGGACGACGGTCTGAGCTTGCTCGACTAGGACTCCTGCTTCTGCTCCTGCTCCTACGAGAGCTAGAGTCTCCTCTGTACCAATCTCTATCTCTTCCACTCCTTCCATAGTCCCGCCTCTCGTTACCCCTATCTGAATACCGATGAGAATCTCTATCTCTACCATCACGATCATCATAGCTCCTCTTGTGCCTTCTCTCTCTGTCGCGATCACGGTCATGGTCTCGATCTCTCACTCGGTCTCGGTCGTTGTCCGGTCTTTCTCTACTGTGGCTTCTTCTTTCACGAGGAGGAGGCAAGGTTCTTCGAACAGGGGAAGAGTCCCGAGTGGACGCACGATGAGGGGCTCGTTGTCCAAAAGAGACGGAAAGGGCAGCTTTCACTGATGGAGGGCGACGGGCTGTATCATCTGAGCCAAGACGACTTGATTCGCCAGTCACACCAGATTGCTTGGTTGGAAGATTCATTTTCTCAAGGTTTGCGACAATCTGGCGCATGATGGGAACAGGAATGCGCGGGAAAAGGCTGTCAAAGTAGTACTGCAATAAAATGGCCGGAAGACATTAGTACAAAACATAAGAGAAACACATGAAGAAGATATGGTTGAGAAACAGCTTTTCCACGTCAGGCAACATTTAATTTAGTAGGAGCGTAAAAACAACATACGTTAGTCACAAGAGGTTGGGGCATCATACAATCATTTTGTAATTAAGATAATTAGGAACAGTAAAATAAAAACCGGATTGAGAAGGCCGGCGAAGGTCAGCTAAGAAACATTTATTACATAGCCCTACAAAACTGCTCATTTGCTAAGATAATAGATTATCTGTTGCATAACAAGATCTGACCATTCAGTAGCGAATTTTATTAAAAACTCAAGTGTTAATTTTGCATTCCCCTTGATCCATTTCAATAAATTAAATTACCTCGGTTTTATTTAGCAAACCATCAGATAGGTTTATCTATTTTCTGACTTTAGCAAAAACAACTAGTATTTTTTACGAGTTTTCTGGTCAGATATTCTCCTTTATTTTTACCCGTTATCACGCTTACCGGTATTCTGCTAATTAGAGATAATTTGCTGTATTAAGAAATATGAAGGCAAAATAGCTCAAAATGAGGCCTAGCAACGCGTACTTTACAATGTCCACCGAAACATATAACCTTTCCTCCATCAATTAGTCAAAAGAAAAATAGCATGTCAAAATGTTGCGAACTGGATAATCTATTTCAATTTTAATTTGAGTTGTTGATATTATCAACCAACAAATGCTAAAAAACTTGTCCACAACTGTTGAAAGATTGAAACTCAAGATACTGATATCAGAAACTAGGACATGAAAGCAGGCGACCGCCAAAGATTTTTAACCTTAAAACATACTTTGGTTGTTCATCTTGTCAATCCTGAATCTTTCAAAGTCCACCTCGACGTTATCCTACAACAATTTAGTATGTGCCAGTTACCATGTTCCCCTATTCTATCAATACACAGTCAATCTAGCCAGTAAGAGGTAATGAAACGGATAAATATCAGTAGTAGATAAGAGACATGACAAAATGAGAATCTTTTGCCACCAACATTAAAGAGAGCAATGGAAACATCAAGCTTACCATAGTATATTTGGAAGAAATGCAAGCATTTAAGGAATAAAATAATTAAGGGAAACTTTTCTGAGATCAGATTTTAAAAAAAAACTGAAAATATAAGAAAACCACATTACAGACCTCTGAACCCGTTATACAGGTAATGGATTCCTAAGAAACTGACATGAAAGAACATATGAATGAGGCAGGTAGGTAAGGCAACAAACTATGACTTAAACTAGACAAAGGATGTCATCAAGAGTTTTTGACATCAGTATGCATTTTAAATAACACGCAAAGAGCAAACACCAATAAAATTTTGAAGAGGTGACATGGATATCATAGGTACAGAAATAGGATATACCTATTCACCTGAATATTATCTACTACAGGAAAATCTTGCCCTGACATGCATTACACAACTAACTTTGGACTACTCCTGGCTTCCAGGATGAAAAATGAATGGATACTGAGATGAGACAGGTAGTACCATATTAATCTCCAGTATTGATTTTGAGCAGGAGACTAATATTTTTCATAAAGGAAACATATTATTTATATCCCAACATGTACAGATTGATTAGATATAGGCATTACTGATGGCCTGAAATAAACAGATTATAACAAATTATATAGTCTGAAATAAATAGATTGTTTAACAAATTATAAGGACTACAGATTTCATAGTAAGACAACAATGGGGGCATTGAGCGTGGACTTTATTTTTATATGTTACATATATTAGTAATTATTTTATATTCTTTGCATAGTGAACATCCAGAAGTATGAACTGGCAGAAGAAACTACCAACACCTGGTTAAAACAAGCTTCACAAACTTCTACAGAGAGAGGAAGGAAATCAAGAATAGAAGACAACTCCGAGAAATAGGCAAGTCAGTCAATTTACAAAAGGAAATCATCATGATTTTACCATCAAATTCCATACTAGGTGATATATATAAAGGGCAGGGTCAGGAGTAAGAAGAAGAAAAGACAAAAGTGTTCTAGAATGGAGGTTGGGATGGTTGGCAGGACTCTTTTTCCGAACAAAGGAGGCTGAGATTTATAGGCTCAAGCCAACAGATTTAAGCCGGAACGGGTTGACTGTCAGTCGAACATGGCAAAAACCTAGGAAGCAATAAATTCTGGTAACCTTGTTTAAACTTAGTCTACTCACGTAAAAATACTAGAGACTAATATGACAGAATATAACAATGCCGGTGTTTAGGAAGGCTTATTTTTTGAAATTTATATGTTGCCTTTTACTTACTTTTAGCTTTTATGATAAAAATGCTTTAAAATTGTTTGGGTAGAAATGTAATTTATTTGGTCAAACCTAACTTATATAAGTGAGCTTATAAGCTAGTTTTCTAAAAGCTGGGGTACACCAGCTTTTGAAAATGGCACTTACAAGTTAACTTATTTATTACTTTACCAAACAGGTAGAAAAGAAAAAGCTAGCTTAAAAGCTAGTTTGACCAAAAAATAAGCCTCCCCAAACACTCCCAATATCCATCTCACATGTCCAACAAAATTGAAATGTGCACCAGTTACTTAAAAAACCAGAAAGAATTCATTGCATAAGTTAAAAGGAGCCCCTATAAGAACTTCAGAAGAAATTTCCTAAGACACATGGAAAATATACTTAAAAGTTAGTGACAGACATCAGAACATCCAAAAACCATATGCAGGATGGCATCTTGCTAAACAAAATAGTATAAAATGCATCATGTTCTTTTATAAAACACTTCATTTTTAGAATCAACTTGACAAACCTTCCACAACATTGTTGAAAAAGATGCTTCCCTCTCAAAACTTTAACCTCCAGCAGGATATCCAAGCTCAGAATCTCACACCGCCAGTGAGCCATGTACAAGTGTCAATTAGCTTTTCAACTACCGTGAAATTATCATTAAGATGATTTTTTAGCAACAACAGTCGAATACACCAAAGCATTGCCAAATTACCACAATCAAAAGATTACGTATGATCATAATTGAATTCCGAACTATTGAGATTCGAGACTGACCTGTCCAAGAAGAAGATCACGTACATAGACCCCCATTGTTGTCATTCGACCATCAGACCCTGGAGCGAACTCCTGAAAGAGCAAAGGGGGAAAAAGCCATTACATGCCATTAAAAATACAGTTAAGAAGGTTATTGTTTATCAGCCAAGATATTCATAGCATCTTCTATAATATTATCAAACAGACAATATACAACAAGAAAGCTAAGAACACATACCCTATCATGCTACATTACCAGCGATGATAATATATTCTTCAAGAAGCCAAATATAAAGGACCAATTTCAACAAATTCACTATGGGGGGTTATTCATTGGTGTAATTTGGGGGATAATGGGATAATTTGGGGAACATCAGTGTTTGGTGTTATTAGTTGGGGTAATTGGAACAGGAGTGAACTCTTTCGTGTTATTAGTTTGTTGGTGTAATTGGGGGACAAATACCCCACTTTCCCCCAAATTATCCCACCTATAATAACCAAAGCTCAGCCCACCCTCAAAATTTACCCCACTTCGTTTGCTGGAACAAATTACCCCACAACAAATTACCCCACTTCGTTCCACACCGTTCTCAATGAAGATGACGATGTGAACTTGAAGACGACGACGGAGCTTGAAGACGGAGCCATCCGAATCGGGGTCGAGCCAGCTAGGGTTATCGGAATCGACGCCGCCCTCGTCGATCTCGTCTTCGGATGGCCGAGATTTGAACGCGACGGAGCTTGAAGACGACGACGACGAGCTTGAAGAAGACGACGGAGGCGGCGGAGGCTGGATCTCCGGCGGAGGCTGAACTGAATGAAGACGACAACGACGAGCTTGAAGACGACGACGATTCTCATCTATGTGCTCGATTTCAGCGTGAACTTTGACCTTTTACAGTTACGTCGATACGTTCGAGATCATCGCCGCCAAGATTGTGAGTTTTCTTGCGGATTCTTGATTTGTGATTAGAGGGATGAATTAGCGTTTGTTAGTGTAAAAGAATGATCTTTTTCTAGTGGTTTATGTGATAATCTTATTGAAATCATGGTTCTTGTTTGATGAATGTTTAGGAATGCTTCCATGAACTAAAGCAGTTGTGGAAATCTTGTTTTTCTCTCTCCTTTCAGTATTGGGTATTGTGACAATTTAGGATGTTTTTTGGTTGATTTTAATTATTTTTCTGTTAAGTTGCTTTTGTTAATAAGCACCAATTTAACTTTAGATGCATTATCCTAATTGTCCCACTCAAATTGTCATACCAATTGTCCCACTCAAATTGTCTCATTATCCCATTTTACCCACTTTATCCCACTCAAATTATCCCATTAGGTAAAATTACCCCATTGGAACAATTTAACCCAATTTACCCCAAATTACACCAATGAATAACCCCCCCCCCCATAAGAACTTGTGAACCAGAACCACAATTTAGTGTTTTGCACAAAGTCTAACTCGGCATATAAAGACTGGAATAGTTGACAGAGTGAATACACTTACATTACCAGTCTTACTTACACTCTGGAACCCTTTCCTTGCTTCTCTACATTATTAGGACCCCCGTTTAGTATACCCTAATTGACAGGTAACATGTGCGTCTCTTCATCCAAGTATAGATTAACTAGAACTACGCACTGACATTAATCTGGACTCTATAATCTAAGTGACTTATCTTTACAACATTACCTCACTGTACTTGGAGTACATAGATACTACTTAGCATGATAGAGACAAGCAACATTACTAACTGTAAGGGGGAAAAAATCATAAAGGCCTTCATGCAAGCAGTTATAGTAGTATGATTCAGTGATCTTGATATTGTTTAACTCCCTATCTACTGATCTACAACTGTAAGCATCCTAAAACTGATCTGAGAAAAAAGTAACACAACATTGTAGAGTGTCTTCTTTGTGAATCACCTTAAGAGCGAGACAACAGAGAAAAAGAAATGAGATAAGCCACATTTGGACAAGTATATGTAAAAGTTGGAACTATAATCTCTTGAAGATAGTAATCGTCAACAAGAAAAGGATTGCATACCGATACACACCTCCTCATCTTTGACATATGGCTCAAACCATTTCCATAATGTTTTAGGATCCCCAGCATACCGCAAGTAGAGAAAACCAATCTGCAATAACACTCAAATAGTTATGTTCGAAGTACAAGTAGAGAAAACTAGTCGTGTTTTAGAACAATGGGATAGAGCTTTACATAAAATTAAAAATGCAATCTTTTCTTCATAGACAAATCACTATATCTATCACTTAATTGCTTCCAAGAACCTGTCAACAAAATAGCCACCATCTACATCAGGAAAACGATCATGTTTATCACTCTATCTTCCTTCACATGTGAGGGGAATTCAAATTCCCTATCAAGGATAAATGTTCTTTCTTTAATTAGAAAGTCATCAACTTTAGAATCAAGGACTTTTGAGTCTTTCATACTAATGAAGTTGCAGTTATATTCCAGTGATACTAAGTTTCATCATAAAAAAGGGCCCAGTTTAGATGATAATGGCTGGTTAGCATATTATAAAAAAATACAATGACTTGCTCACACAAGAGTAGCAATTATTTATATTAAAAAACATAAGTTGCAGTTTTTATTGAATTTGCAAAGTAGGAGAGAAATATATGGAATCACCAAAGAAACATACAGCTCTGATATAAGGAGAATCAGGGTGCTTCAACAGCCCATGCATCTGTTTGACCGTCAGTTTCATCGTAAAAAATTTATACAGAAGGCAAAATGCTGTTGAAGGGCCTCTACAGTTACCAGTCATCCAAGGCTCCACATGATCAACCTGCTCGTAGATCTCATCGACGACCTCGTGATACGTCTTCAGCTTGTAGAGCTCTTTGAAGTAGTCAGAGGACAGGATATTCATAGAGAGCACCCTCTCTATCAAAGTTTCGATAGGTTTTCCAGATGTCTGCACCTCCATCGCCATAATCGAAACCCTGGAAACCAAAAAAATCGCAACTTGAGAGAGTTAGAGCTGATTAAAACCTCAATTGCAACTTGAGCGAGTTAGAGCTGATTAAAACCTTAAATTTAGTAAATTAACCTAAAAATGAATAGAAAGAGATTCGCAAATCGAGTCCATACCGTTTAAGCTCTCGAGAGCAGCAGAAGATAGAGCAAATAACGATGACGATGCCCTCGTGAGCAAATAAATCGATAAATAAACAAGGGATTTTGTATGAATTTGAAGAAGGTAATCGAATTCTAGGGTTTTAAAGGGGAATTTTGGGATTTAGGTATTTGGAAAGAGGGGAGACGGGACGCGATGTGGTCCGGCGTCTTTTGCGAACAGGGCTCGTGAGTACCATTTATTTATAGGGTCAGTGGGCCGTAATCCGATTGGATCCGACCCGAATTCGGGTTCCTTGCGATTCCGAGTCGGATCTGAGTTTAGAGATCCGACCTGAATTCCAAACTAATCTTGTCATAATGTCCGCGGTAGAGTATTTAATTTATTCATGTTTAACTATAAATTGCTTTTGACCAAAATATCAATTTAGCCTACAAAGTGACACACTCTGACTAATAGGGCCTAAAGAATAATGTCGGCGATAATAACACTTATAAATTGACACACTTAATCACTTAAACCTCCTCCGATCGCGAGAATTTTGATTTGTGCAAGAAAATTATGAAACTTTGCATATATACCCCTCATATCTCTCACACTTACAAATTTGTCCTCATAATTAAAATATCATTCTCCCTTTAAAAGAGTGGGTACTAGGAAAACTTTTATTTCCCAAAAATATCCTTCATCTTTCATGAAATTAACCAATTTACTCTATTATCATAACACACAATCTTATTAAATCACATTAATTAAAGGTTTATATTATAGTATAAATATTCTTTATATTATTAAATAAATTAAATCTAATATAATAATTAAATCAATTATCATAATAGTATTAGATTATCAAGCGTGTGATGTTTTAATATATTGTAGGAATTATTATTTATGTAATAATGCAACTCCAATTAGATTATAATAGTACAAATTTATATTAAACATTAGATTTTTAATAGTATAAGATTATAATTAAACATTAATTTTTTTTAGTGCTTATCAACTACAAATAAGGTTTATATTTCATCTAGAGTGGTTTTAAGTAAAAATTGAAATAATTAATTATGTAACTCTAATTAAATTAGTTAATTAATCATTATCTAATCGGCTTGTTAACAATAACTTGGTGTTTATGTGCGCATATGTAAAGACATGGATGAAACGTTTTATTCAAACTTCAATAGTTTATAGTGTCCGAGAGACACAAACCAATATAGAAAATAGTTCATACTTCCGTAATTCTACCTTAAGTAGTCCCCACAAACTTAGATTTTCTAATGAGTGAAAATTTGATGTCCTTCTAATGGAAACATTTCATAAAAAAAAGAAAATTAGTATTTTGGAAAGCTTCTTTTGTGTATTAACACATTTGACAAGTGAGCTCCTTTTGATACCTTCAACAAATTATCACGAACCCCTCCAACTTCCAGCTGTTTCATCACACTCTCTATATAGTCTCATTCCCAGGTCCCCCCTCTACCACTCTTCACATAATAAATACTAGGTTAAATCAAATGATTAAAGTATCCAAGTTCTACTTTTTTCCCCCTCTGCTACTCTTCTTTGCTCTGCCAATGCAAGGAAATTAAAGGAAGACGGAGAGTTTGAATAGTAAAAGATTTTGCTTCTGCCATTGAGGCAAGCTCGGTATTAGCGGTGAGGTGAAATTGATGAAGGTGGTTGTAGCGAGCTTGGCAATTTCGATAGTATGGCCGGTCAGAGGATGTGGAGAAGCTAGGTTCGATGGTCAATTGTGGTTAATTCGATGAATATGATGGGTCTGACAAAGGAAGTAGTGACAAGTATTCGATCGAGGAAGGGGATGTGGATTTGGAGGTGGTGGTGAAGCTTTCGGTGGAGAAGGAGGGTGTTGGAGGAGCTCGTCATGAAGTTGGGACATGAGTTCTATCCATTCACATTTTTTAGTACTTCTGTGCATGGATAAATGCATTTATATTATCTAAATTTAAGTTTCAGTGTAGTGTGGTGTGTGTTGTCATAATTGGAGAAACTCATTTCTTATTCACTTCTCTTTGTTTCTTTTTCATCTTATATAGGAAAAAATAAGATTAACATACTTTATTTTTTCATATACAGTGGGATGACTATGCGCGCAACTTTATTTGGGGATTTGGCTACAAATGAAGGATCTTCATATACAGTGGGATGACTATGCGCGCAACTTTATTTGGGGATTTGGCTACAAATGAAGGATCAATTCTTGAAGCTGAAATCAAAGATAAGTCGGTAATAGCATTATCAGATTTTAAATCTCTATATATAAAGGTACATAATTTATTATTAAAATTCTTATTAAAGACAGGTAAACATAAAAGTCATTCAATAATTACCTCAATTTTGCAGGGGAGACAAGCATATCGTTACAAATTATATCAACAATATGTATCAACCCAAAAATACAACTAGCTAAAGAATTAAGGGAATGGTAAGTAGAACAAGCATACTTTCATATAACGCAATAATGAAATAATATTATATTTTAATCTAATGTGCAGGTTTCATTTGGAAGAAGCCACAAAATCAAAAGGATCTCCATCAACGATTTTTATAAATTCAAAAGAAATTTAAATTAGTGATATTATACTACATCGTAGAATTCGATACATGTACAATATTAGAAACCTATTCTTATTAACACATTTAAATCTAACTAAAATTTGTCAATATACATACACGCTATTGCACATTTAAGGCAAAGATAACTACTATTTTGAATAGTCTCGAGCCATGGTTCAATGCTTGCAAAGACTACAACAAGAAGGTAGATAAAGATGTCAGTAAAGAGTGCATGAATGATAAATGCCGCTGAATCATTAATGACTCAGTACCAATGTTAAGTAATATATTTTTTTTATGGCATGAACATATTAAAATATAATATTAACTATCTCTAGAAATCGACAATGAAAACTACAGGTACGTAGTTAAGATTCTCGTGGAAAATAACAAGTATATTGCAAGGGTAACACTGTTTGATGCAACAAAAACTTTTATTGGATGCACAACAGAAAAATTCATTATAGAAAAAAGAGATAATCCTTAACTCTATTCAAGTAATAATTTAGAAAATCAAAAAAATTCCATATATATTAAAATAACATTTTTCTCATTAAAACAGAAAAATAATCAAAGTTCATATTTTTAGAAATTTATGTTCAACATCGAAAAACATTCAAATTCCTTGTGAAGTTAGATAAAAAACAAAAGATGAATGAGGCGAAGAAAATATAATAGCACAAGAAATCCAACTCCCTCCTGATATTACAATCGACGTAGATGAAGAAGGTGGTACTCTAGAATTATCCAGGAAAAAAATAAATGTGGAGAAAGATTGATCTCGGTTCAATTAAAATATGAAATAAAAATAATAAAGGATAATATTTATAAATGTGGAGAAAGATTGATCTCGGTTCAATTAAAATATGAAATAAAAATAATAAAGGATAATATTTTTGATCATTTTATATCATATCTTAATTTTTGAGTAGAATTAGAAATAAAAATAATAAAGGATAATATTTTTGATCATTTTATATCATATCTTAATTTTTGAGTAGAATTAGAATTTTTTATAAAGGATTTTCATATAACATTATTAGTAGTTTTGTATGCTTATGTGATTGCTTTCATCACATAAAATTATACTATAGTTACCATTATTATTTAGTTTTCGTCTTTTTATTACTGTATACTATAGTTACCATTATTATTTAGTTTTCGTCTTTTTATTACTGCTTTTGGACAATTATAGGTGTATCTCTCTGTCTTTTCTGTAATTGGTATGTTTTGTTCTTCAAATTTCATTGTAAATTTCTATATGGGATTGCTCTAATCTTATTGCTTTTGGACATTTACTCTCTAATTGTAAAGTTCTACGATGCGCAATTGTTTAAAATCTTTATGTTTCTTCGAGTTCGTTCTAAATTTGTTTATAGGATTGCTCTAATTTTACTGCTTTGGGATAATTACTCTCTGCCTGCAATGTTCTTCAATGCGCACTTGATTAAAATCTTCATGTTTCTTTGAGTTTCATTATAAATTTCTTTATGGGTTTGCTCATATCCTACTACTTTTCAATAATGCGTATTATTGTATAGGTTGATTTTTATTATCTCATATAAGAAGAGGCATCTTGGAACCATTCCTTGTAATTTATTTTTATATGATTATTATGGTTTAGTAAAATTGTTTATTATAAAACATGAGTTTATAATGTTCCAATGTGTTGTGCAATTTTATTTTTAATGTAATAAGAAATGTGGTTTCTTTTTTTACTAGAACATTAGTTCATAATGATATTGTTATTCTAGTAGAGTTTGAGATATGACATTATTAATTTAACTTATTTTCTTTTACTATTCTACTTGAAGATATTATTATGTCAATTCATATTTTTTTTTCTTAAGAAACCAATTAAGATGTCCCAGCTTATAATATCCAAAAAAGTTGTGCAATTCTACTTTTAATGCAATAAGAAATGTGATTTCTTTATTGCTATAACTATAATTCATAATGACAATTACAATATCCCAGTTAGGTACATTCATCCCAAGTAAGCTTAAAAATCAATTACATTGATTTTTAATAATATTTAAATAAAAATAATAGTAAATCTAATAATTCAATTTTACATATTTTAACTCGAGATGAATCTGGCTTACTTATAGTAACAAAATAAATATATAAAATATTTTGATATTTTACCACGTGCATTGCACGTGCATAAAAACTAGTTATTTATAAACGAGCCACTCTAATAAAGAGTAGAAGTAATAACCAGAGTCATTAATTTGAAAAGATTACAAAAATCGTAAGACCTAATGATAAATTCAACGAGTTGAGGGATTTATTTGAAAATAAATAATTATGTATATTACAACTCCTAAAAATAATTTTAAGCACAAATTAAAAAATAATTCTTTAAGCAACTTAACCATTTTTTTAGCTTCTTCATACAAATACCACGGCAACGCGTGGATTAATTTTGCTCGTTAGTCTACAAAATCTTTGAAATTGCTGGTATGTTCCTTAAATTCTAAGGGAAATTGCAATTTAGTCCCTCAATGATCAAAATACCCTCTACTATTTATTTAGAATACCATGCCCTAATGATTAACTTAAGGGTTATCTGGAATTTTGTGACCTACGTTTACATCTTCTTTTATCTTTGGTAACCTTATT